AATTAGATTAAATGAGAAGGACAAAGTCCTACATAAAGAGCAAGTCAAACATATATAAAATATTCAAACTTTATTTTACTAAAGAGAATAATTCAAACTAATAAAATAAACCAAATAAAAGTTAATTCCATGATTCAATATGGTTTTAAAAAGGTTGGAAAACTATTCGTGTTCAACTCCTTTATAGCCCAATTACACTACTTGTAACTAGCATGTGAAAATTTGGTCTATTACGGCATGATCTAGCTGACTTATACAATATCAATTTTCATTGTGCCGACAAAGAACTCTTCACTCGAAGAGCATGTTCAATGTATTGGAGGATAAGGTGGTTGTTATGGGTCATTTAATGGAGGACGCATTCATACAATACCAAAATTAATAGGAGCAAAAACTCCAACAAACAAATGTGGCGTGAGCCCAAGTAACTTGAGAGTTGTATAGAAGGCACGAGATTAGTAGAGAAGATTCCCAGCGATGCACATGCTAAGCATGTGAGAATGGGAGTGACATAATTTTGTTTAGTAGCACGTCTACGAGATTAACAATGCTATGTATTCAAAATTGATGGAAGGTGAAAAAAAATAATCCCATGTTTGGTCTCACGCATAACTAAATTTCATTCATTAATGCTCAATCATCAATAAAAAGCAAAAATCCTATTAATAATTTAGGTTTACATAAATATGTCAAACTTTAAATCAAATATTTACCAAATATAAGAGCAAGTCAAATCATATTCGAGTATTAAAATCCAATTTTATCCAAAAAAGATAATTCAATTTAAAAATTAATCAAATAAAAAATTAAAAATTCAACAATGACTAAATATGGTTCCAAAAAAAGGTTAAAAATTGGTCATACTTAATTCCTCTATAGCCTAGTTCAAATCATTAAAAATAACCTATAAAATGGGGTCTTCATGGGTAAATCAAACTAATTTGTATTGCATACATACAATCGTCTATAAAAATGTTTGATTTGATCAAGAGCTAGCTAAATTCGATCTAAACATGGCATGTTCCAAGTTTGATTTGAATTGAGTTTCGTTCAAGTCATCTCTTCAGATCAAAGCTTGATTCGGGCTGATTAAGGGGATATTTGTTTGGAAAATTTTTTTACTATAAAGTAAAACAAACATAAAGATTTTAAAATTTGGGTTATTTAGATGGAAGCAAAAACAAATACTAAGTCTTTCATCAATGAATTTGGAATTCACCCTTTATTACATTTTTTGTGAATTCCAAATCACCAAATTTGGACAATTTTTGAATACGTGTTCTACCTCTCCCCTCACCACGGGCCAACACCCCTCTCACCACTGGCCAACACCATCATTCGTTGTTCGTCGTCCACCATCGGCCAGCAAAGCTGCTACCACCCACCATCGTGACAAAAACAACCACCACCACTGTCAGCTGCAACTGTATTTAAATTATTGGTTTTACATTGTAATTTTATTTTGCACCGTAGTTTGAATACTTTAAAATTCAAAATACTCGCAACTAAACATCCCCTAAATAATTTTGAATTTATGCTCTGCTTGGCATTTCTCTCATGTGATGTCAGGTAAAGCTGAGAATTGTTTGATAATATTATGTTTAAGAATGTAAATCATTATATAAGATATGGTTGAATAAAAATTATGATTCACTTATAAATGTTATATTTTACTTTTTAATTGACATAATAAGGCAACCATAATTAATCCTAGACACTTAAGAGACTAGGTTTTCTAATGCAACTAAATAAAACAATTGATGTAAATCAAAAAAATACACCACTTTGAAACATCAAAAAAATCCACTTTCTTTTGGTGTAAACTCAAAAACATGAAAAAAAAAAACTTGAACCAAAAGATAAGGTAACAATCAACCAAACAAAAAAACAGAAAAACAAACTTATTGGGACAGTTTCAACTATATGTTAAAAATGTAAGACAATTGCGGCAAACATAGATTTTTGAAAACAGTTGTGGTGTCATAAAATTTTATCTCATGAAAAAGCCGTGGTGATGTCATAAGATTTTTTCCTCATGAAAAAGTTTGATAGCAACTGTCGTCTAACCACCACACTATTAAATTTGATTATAAGAAGTTCTTTCTGACTACAGGAATCTCTGAAAAAAGCAAGAAAACTGAAGCTGAATAAGACTATGGTCATTGTCTTAAAAGCAAAAGTTGGAGCATGGTGCCCCAAACAAACCTCAAGTCGTGTTAGGCTTTGGCAAACCCTTCTCCTCACCACAATTAGGTTAGGTCGTGCCAAGTAGCTTCTGGAAAATCCCTAAAACTAGCAAAATTAAAATATTAATTAACTAATTATTTTAGTGCTAGTTTTATGAAAGATTTTTTATCTACAGCAACCATGCTAAAGGTCAATAATTACAAATTTAATTAAAAATTTTAATCGATGACTTCGTTAAAAAAATAGATAAAATAATATAAATTGTTTTTAAAAAACTTATCTGAATCATTGTTCTACAAGAATGTTGATATCTAAGTCGATTTTTTTCTCCCATTAGTTGATCCCAAAATCCTAAATTTGCTTCTTATATTGAAGTAGAAATATGACTTAAATCTTATTCAAATCCAAAAGCCTCATCAGATCGTAATTTTGCCAGAAAACTATCCTAATATGAACAATTATAAATGAAATAATAAATGAATACTCTAAACATGTAAGCTTCCAATCATTCTTTTAGAAAGAAAAATGAAATGCTATCTCATGATCTATTACCACAACTGAACTTCAATGAAGATACCACAAGCTTTCAATCGACCAATGAACAATCATAAGCCAAAAGGTTCTCAGCTCGATTTGGTGCAGCAGAAGCTAGCCTATTTAAGGTTATAAATGCAGTCTGTTCTGAAATCCAGGTGTACCCAGTAAACAATCGTATACAAAAAACTCAGAAACAATTTATTATAAATAAAAGTGAAGAAGATGTATTATCTCTCTCTTAAAAATGAACAATTGTCGAACAATCATAATAGAAAAGCAGAATGAATTTCTTCAAATACGATAAAGCGTCAGATGATGCTATCAGACTGCAGCTATTTCTTTTTTCACTAAGAGATCAGGCTAAAAACTGACTCAACTCACTTCTCAGCACTACCATCACAAGTTGGGATGATCTATAGCACAGATTTCTCTCAAGAGCAATTCACTGGTGAAGACAATGAGAATGGGATAAAAAAACATCAATTTTATCCAGATTGGAAAAAGAAACACTATATTATTCCTTAGAGAGGTTCAAGGACCTCCTGAGAAAATGTTTACAACATTGACTACCTAAGTAGATGTAGGTCTAGGGATTCTACAAGGAGGTGGCCGGGCTAACCAGAATATTGATTTATGCCACATCTGACGGCATTTTAATAATGAAAACTCAAAAAGCAGCATATGAACCATTGGAGGAGCTGACCACGAATAATTATTAGATGCAAATTGAGAAGATTATGACAGAAATCCATACTGGTGGGGCAAATAAGAGATACTATCACAACTTTATGGCATAGATTGCTCAACTAACACGGCAACTAACCACGTCTGCAGTCAACGCCGTCCATGCTGCCATACTTTATTGCGATCATTGTGGAGGAGGCCACAACAGTAGTGAATGTTAAACCAATAATTCCTACTCAGCCATTTTTAGAGCATGCCAACTTTGTAAGGAATCACCCACAAAACAAACCCTATGCAAACACATACAATCCTAAGTGGGGGAGCCACCTGAACTGCTCTTTGAAGCATTGTCATGCTGAACAACAGCTTGTTTGATTCCAGCAGCCACCTAAATTCTAGCAGTAAGAAGGATTTCAAATGTCAGGTTTCTACAACAACCAGACCTTAATATATAGAAGAATGAGGAAGTTCCACTAAAGGATGTGTCACAGCTAATGCTAATGATGACAGGTCTTGACGTGGATGAATGCCACATTGAAAGGTATGATGAAATTATAATTAAAAACACTGAAGTAAAATTGAGGCAGATAACGCATCAATTATTTAAAGACAGCTTTGCATTCTTCCCAGTAACATGTCAATATTGTGTCTCTACAAAGTTACAGGTACTTAAAGGATCCAGTGGGCTAGAAGAAGCCCAAAATTGCTAAATGAGAAACAGAATAATAGACATAATAGGACTAGTAAGAAAAGATAATTCTAAGGAGGCGGGACCAATATACTAGCTTTTCACCGACAACCTGCCACCCTATGTTCCACCATTCCCATATCAATAATAACTCCATAAGAAAAAATTAATTAGTGAGTTCTCCAAATTTCTGGATGTCTTCAAAAGCGCCACATTAACATTGCCTTTTCTCTAAAGACAACTTAATAAACCTTAAAGTCTAACCTTTTCATTTGCTAAAAGAATTTTTACAGTAAGACATGCTCATCTCATTCCAGTACAATAGAAGCTCTTATATTTACGGTTATAAATGCTACCCGTTCTGAAAGCCACAAGTACCCATGTAATCAATGCAGTACACTCATTAACAGGCCATTACAGGAGAAAAGTAAGGCAGATGTATGATCATTCTATTAAAAATTCAAACTTGTAGATCAATCATAATAACAGCGCAGCAGAATGAATTTCTTCATACATTTCCTTCTCAATAAAAAGCTAGTCAATTAAAATAAGAGATGCCTCCTAATATAGCAACACAGTTGATGGAATTCACAGAATCACAATAGAGAGCTAATTCAGGATAAAACAACTAAAACCAGTGCTGATACATCAAACAGCTAATTTCGCAAACAACTGAGCAGGATAAAACTAACAGGTTTTGTTTGAAAATTAATCCAATTTAATACTTCAAGCAGCCATAAAGAAACATCCTGACCCTCAGTCAATCAGTCGAAACGTCTCTGATATCAACCAAACGATTATAACTAAGCCAGTAAACTCAAATCCCGTAATTGAAAATAATATGAATAACTTTAGAAGAAAATACGATAACATCGGTGCACTAAAATGAAAAACTAAGGCAAACCCTCATTTCTTTGTTGCCGAAGAAGGCATCAAAAAGCTTTCGGAAAGTCGCTCTTCCTAGCTCCACAATCTACAGTTTAGGGGCTAGAGAAATCATGGCGGTTTTCGAAGAGCTAAACGATAAATCAAAGAAGAGGAAGGCGGATATCTCAACCGCCTCTTCCTTCCTACGTTTTAAAGGTTTGTAAAACCAGCCGTCTTCCACAATTGTACTGTTAATTGGCGACTGAGTAGCTCGTGGCATGTATATTTCTCTGGTCCGATTGTATAGAGACTGTTCGATTTCACTGGGAGGGAAAGGGGACATCAGATCGACGGCCATCAATAATCAAGCCATGTTTATAATTATGTATTGTGGTCAACAACACTGAAGGTGCCGTCCTACAGGCTACAACAAATGAAAAACCACCAAAACTCTTTTCACTTAATGGTTTCACGATGCTTCTTATTTCTTAGTAAGGGCTTATTAAGAAGCTTTAAGAAGCTTTTCGTGTTGGGCATGATTTGAACCATACCACAAATATCATTTGAGTCAGAGTGTCTGATCATTTTCAGAGAAGCAGGGCAACATAACGGAATATTGCGACCTCTTAATTCTTACTGCTATATGTGAGCTGAGACTGTACATTTTCTTTCTTATAATAAAAAATTTAAAAATTTAGCAAGGGGATGTCATGTGCATAGGAAATGTACCTGTTTGTGTTTTTTATTCTATCTTGATTTTATGCTTATTGGAATGTATTTGTGATATGTGTTTGCAGAGATTAGGGAAAATGATTCATATAGTTGAAGAACCCCCGGAATTTGACAAGTGTTATAGTAGTGCCTAAGCGCCAGACCTGGCCTCCCAAGCGCCTAGGAAGGGATTCATGTCAGTGTTCTTTTTCTGAAGACAAATGAGGCGAAAAGTAGTCGTTGCAGCCTTAGCGCTAACAGCCACGCTCGTGCGTCTAAGCGCTGAAGGGGTTCTCAGTTGATTTGGTTCAAAAGTCAGAGAATGCATAAAGTAGGTTTCGGCCACCTGAGCGCCCAAAGCCCTAGGTTTACAGTTTAAAGAGTAGGAAGGAGGTATCGCAACATCAGACCCTAGGCGTCGCTAACTAGCTCCTAGGCGTCGTTGACCAGATCCTAGGTGCTAGTTCACTTGTTTTGGCAATTTTGGTGGTTCACTGTTGACGTTTCACGAATCGAAGAATTGTAGTCACTCGACAGAGACTCAAGAAAGATCCGCACATTTCAGAGAGGTACACAAGCCTTGAAGAAAGATTTTAGTGGAGAAAACTTGAAGGAAGAAGGATCCAACACCATTTGAGTGAAGAAAGAGTGATTGTGGGTTTTTGGTGACTTGTACTTGTTCTTGTCAAATCCTTCTTTAATTGGAGAAAGAGAAAAATGTTTTTTGAGTTTGTGTATTACTAGTTCGTTTAGTCTATCAAAATCTTGTAATTCAAATATTTTCTTTCAATAAAAATGTTGGAATTGTTGTGTCGACCGGTTTTGTTGTCGTGTTGACTTCGGTCTTGCTTTTGCTATCGTCGTTGTTGTCGGTGTTGAAGAGCCACCAATTTGCTTACCGTTATGTTGCACATCTTCCTGAATTCTTGCAACTCATATCAAATTGATTGACAAAAGAGAGGAGAAATCAAGAGAAGTAAGGCAGGTATCAACGAAAATAAATAAATGTATGGAAGCTTTCATAAAGAAATCATTGTTATCAAAGAATCCTCTTACTAAAGCAAATTACCAGAGATTTGAGGCTGACATACCTGTTCTGAGATTCACATCTTCCTATAGGGACACTAGTTAACTACATCCTAAATAATAAATGATTACTTAAGAAAACTTTCGATAAAGATTTAAATTTATTCTCAGAAAGTTCAAAGAAGATGTCAAAGAAAGAAATGTCATAGTCTTATCCAAAGGGTAGTGGATACAAAACTATCATAAGGTTTTGTTTAGTTGAGGTTCATCCTTTTAATCCATGTTTTGAGTGGCTAGAAAGATAGTCCTGTAAAACAGAGTTAGCACGTTCTATAACATGTAAGGAAAATCTCGGATGACGTTTGCGATGTTGTTCATCTTTTCCTCAGTAGCCCTTCAAAACAAAGTTAGCAGAAAAAGTATTTTTTATTTTGTTTATTGTATTTATTGATTTTTAAATTTTTAGACAACTCGGTCAAGATGTTTATGGTTTTATCGTCCCAGGGTCATCTGAGTACTCTAGTCTACTTAACCTAAAAGGTGATCAACCTACTCTGACTAGAAGATTCTTGCCAGCAAACACATATTGCGTCTTTCAAGAGATCTTCGTAAACCAGGATAGGATGGGCTAAAGTTGTAGCGGTAATCTATATCCATTAAGGTTTCTTTTAAGTTTTAATGTCATTTCAAATTTTAGGGGTTGAAAATTTTAGGTTACTTAAGACTTCTTAGCGGATTAATTTTTTTTGTTATTTTTGTCATTTATTTTGTTTAGGATGACTCGGTCAAGATCTCATGGTTCCATCATCCTAGGGTCATTAGGATTTGCAGTTTGATTAGTCACGAATGACTGGAATGTATTTTGTTAGCAGTCATGGATTGCTTCCTCCAAAATATCTTTTCAAACCTAGTTTCATTTTTGTCACAAGTTTAAATTTAAATATCTCTTAAGGTGAATTGTATGTCACTTCATCTAGGTTGATTTGGTATTTTAGCCTGAATTATTTCCTGCAAAGGTTGAGTGTGTTTTTTTTCTAGCAAAAATCCTCCATGACCTTCAGTCGTTTATGTTTAGAAGATGAAACTCTGAATAATCTGAGTTAACCTGAACGAGGTCATTTTTCCCTTGGATTTTCTTCAAACCTGTTTAAGTTGACGCATGTTTAGGATTGACCCAGGTGAACCTATTTTAATCAAAATTAAATTAGTTCTACTTAGCTTAAATTAACTTATACTAAATCAAGTTTAAACCAAGTAAGATTAACTTAGAAGTAAACTGGGTTAATTTGGACTGATCCAAATTAAATATCCTAGGTTAAATCAAGTTAAATTAAACTTAGACGTGGTCCAAGTTGATTTAATCTTAACTTATTAAGTTTAATTTAGGTTAGACTTAAATCAATCCTTAGTTATACTGAGTCTAAAATCAAGTTTGAAATTGAGTTTCAAGTTGGGTTTAGAGATTGAATTAATCTGAGTTAAGTCAAGTTAATATGATGATTTATTTGGATTGGATAAGCTTGAGTTGAGTTGAGTTGAGTTGATCCAGTGGAGCAGTTGAATTAGGTTAACTTGAGTTAGGTCAAGTTGACTTGGTAGTTCTGTTGAATTGGGTTAACCTAAGGATTCAGTTGACTTAGGTAAACCCGAGTTAGGTTGAGTTGACCCGATGATTTAGTTGAATGGGGTTAACTCGAGTTAGGTTGGGTTGATCCAGTTTCATCTAAGTTTAAACTAAGTTAGACTCGAGTTAAACACAAAACTCAAAGTTAGGTTCAATTTGGGATGAACCAATGATTAAGGTTGGGTCTAGTATGAGTTAGATCGAGAGTTTGGGATTTGGTTCAAGTTGGATTGAACCTATGATTTAGGTTAACTTAAGGTCAATTTGAGTTGAATCTAAAGTTTTAGGTTATCTTAGGTTCAATTTAGGTTGAACCTAAGATTTAGGTGACTGAACCAAGGTTTAGGTTGACTTAGGTTCAATTTAGTTTGAACCTAAGATTTAGGTTGACTTAGGTTCAATTTGGGTTGAATCTAAGTTCTAGGTTGACTTAGATTCAATTTGGGTTGAACCTACGGTTTAGGTTGACTTAGATTTAATATGGTTTGAACCTAAGGTTTAGGTTGACTTAATCTCAATTTGGGTTGAATCATCAGTTTTTAGTTGACTTAGGTTCAATTTGGGTTGAATCTAAGTTCTAGGTTGACTTAGGTTCAATTTGGGTTAAATATACGATTTAGGTTGATTAAGTCGAATATATGTTAAACTTAAAGATTTAGGTTCAATATGGGTTGAACCTGAAGATATTTGGTTAAGTCTAATGAGTTTTAGACTTAAAACTTAAGTTTAACTAAGAATGTGATTAAGATTTAATTAAATTAATTAGTTTTAATTTAGATCAAACATAATTAGTGTTAAGGTTTAATTAAGTTTTTTTGTGATTGAGACTTAGAAAATTAATTTGGATTAATTTGAGTTAAACCTAACTAAGATTAAGATTTAACTAAGTCTAGCGTGATTAAGACGTAATAAATTAATTAGGTTTAATTTGAATTAAACATAATTAGAATTAAGGTTTAACTAAGTCTAATGTGATAAAGACTTGGTAAATTAATTATGTTTAATTTGAATTAAACCTAATTAGGATTAAGGTTTAAGTAAGTTTAATGTGATTAAGACTTAGTAAACTTAAGTCTTTAAGTCTAACATTCATTAGACTTAACCAAACATCTTCAGATTCAACCCGCATTGAACCTAAATCTTTAAGTCTAACATATATTAGACTTTATCTACATAAATTGTATATTTAACCCAAATTGAACCTAAGTCAACCAAAACCTTAGATTCAACCCAAATTCAACGCAAGTCAACCAAAATCTTATGTTCTACCCAAATTGAACCTAAGTTAACCTTGAACTTAGATTCAACCCAAATTGAACTTAAGTCAACCAAAAACTTAGGATTCACCCAAATTGAGCCTAAGTCAACCTAAACCTTAGGTTCCACCCAAATTAAACCTATGTCAATCTAAACCTTAGGTTCAAACCATATTAAATCTAAGTCAACCTAAACCGTAGGCTCAACCCAATTTGAATCTAAGTCAACCTAAACCTTAGGTTTAATTTAGGTTAAGCCTAATTAGGATAAGGGTTAACTAAATCTGATCTGATTAAGACTTATTAAATTAATTAGGTTTAATTTATGTTTAACCAAGTTTAATGTGATTTAGGACTTAGTAAATTAATTGGGTTTAATTTGAATTAAACCTAATTAGGATTAAGGTATAACTAAGCCTAATGTGAATAAGACTTAGTAAATTAAGTAGGTTTAATTTAGATTAAACCTAATTAGGATAAGGTTTAACTAAGTTTAATGTAATTGAGACTTAATAAATTAATTATGTTTAATTTAGGTTAAACCTAATTAGGATAAGGTTTAACTAAGTCTAATGTGATTAAGACTTAGTAAAATAATCACATTTAATTTAGGTTGAACCTAGTAGGATAAGTTTTTTAGGTTGAACTTAGGATTATGCTCGGTTTGGGTAGAACCTGAATGTTTTGGACTTAGACTTAAGTTCAATTTGGGTTGAAACTAAGAATTAAAGTTAAGTCCAA